GGTTATGTACATCCAAACTGGAGGAAGGGTTTAGGAATTACAGCTCATAAGAGTAGCCATCCCCACTTTTTCAAGGGATTTTGCCAGTGAAGTCCACCTGGTGCAGCTTCCTGTAATTGTTCAGAACTGATGGTGTACTGCTTGTGAATTCTGAGCAGAGTTGCCTTTTTATGTAGGCTGTGCCTGAATGCACTACAGTGAGCTGAAGTTTAGCAGGGGGTGTGGCCATCAGCATTTTACTGCTGATTCACAGGCCTGGCGCTTGTCAATCAGCACCTGGCCACACCTAGTCCTGCTCACTTTTTCTGTTTCTCCTTTGCTGCCTTGACTTTAGCAAGCAAACAATTTTCATCGGTTGAGATCAGCAAGGGAGCAAGCATCTCCACAGAGGTAATAGAAAGGCTTTCCTGCATGACTCTACTGCTATTGATGTTGCTAGCAGTAGAATTGGCTGTTTGACCTCATTCTTAAAAGTATGGCTATTTTAATGTTAATACACTAGAGTGAAATTACATCACGTGGTTTACTAAAAAAAAAAGTCATGTGGATTATGTTGGACACAGACTGCTCTCCTATGGATAACTGTGGTCAGTGCCATTACTTTTACAATTTTATTTTTTTTCCTCTAAATTTTATATTTGGCTTTTCTAGGACATTTTATCTTTGCACACTATTCAGCTACATAGAAGGAAATAAGCTCAGTTTGCACATGACTGGTTGGTGCACTTCACTGCTCGTTGCACATTTGTATTATATCTCCCCCACAGAGATGGTTGACGGCACAAACGTTAATGGAGTGCAGGCACTGTGTATCCCGATCCTCTCTCGGTATGTGATATCTCAGCATCTGCAGAAGAAGTTCTGTACGCCTTTCAGAGGAACAGAAATAATATATTCTGTATTTGTACCCTTGCTTTACAATTGCTGGCTCTCTGAATAGTTTTTTTTTTTTTTTTTTTTTTCCAATGTCCTTTCTACATATTGAGCCAAAACATTAGGCAAACTGAAATGTGATCATTCCAATCTGCTTTAAAGCTGTTCTTGGTTTAAGACCATAGTTGGAATCTATAAAATACAGTATCTAAAGCACTTTGCTCTTCCTCTATTATAAATTAATCCAGTGACTACAGTTCATAAGATACATAAAGCAACTCAGTATCAACTAATCGTATAACAAAATCTGCAGCACTTACACCGTTATGCCCCAATTGACATGAAATTTTCACCATATGTTGATAATGGTAGACAAAGCAGACAAGCTGATAAAAAGTAATATGTAGTGAGCGCTCTCAAATGTATACAGCAGCTAGAACACTTCAGGTAACCACAATACCTATAAAATATACGTATATCAATTGTAAAAACAACAGTGCAGCGCTTCAAGAATTGATAAATGGATGAAAAAAAATGTACATATGTAGAGTCTATGCAATATCCGCGGTATTGTCTGATGAATATACTTCCAAAGTATGTACTGCCTCGAGATAACAGCAATGCGCACTCACCGGAAACGCATGGAATATGCGCATATAGGAGTAATCATCCCGGGTTTCCGATCCGACGAAGATCGAGTGGTGGGCGTCCTAACGGCATCAGAAACAACACGACAGATCCAGAGGTCCCCTTAAGTTGGTCACACTGATAGTGTAATCCCTCTTCTACACTATCAGTGTGTGACATTAAAGATGGCCGCCGGGCCTCCTCGTGGCTCCGGCGGTAGGAAATGAGGTCACGCTCTGCACCAGAGCGTGACGTCATTTCCTACCGCCGGAGCCACGGCCGGCGGCCATTTTTACTGGGGTCAGTAATGCTGTTTTTTTTTTACACATATATGCTGTGATGTGCATACTACCCTATTGCTATGTCTGACTAATAAAATCACCTTAAGAACATACTACACTATTCTGGCACCTGTTTTTTGGGGCTCCTTCTTGGAGCTGCTACTCCCACAGAAAGGGTACCCCTATCAGCCAGAAGAGGGATCTACACTATCAGTGTGACCAATCTTAAGGGGACCTCTGACCCCACCGTGAATAGGACGCCCACCACTCGATCAGGACACCCGGGATGTGATTCCATGAGGAGTTATCTCCCCATAGACTCTACATATGTACAATCCATTTATCAATTCTTGAAGGGAAAAAGATACCCTATTCCCTTCAGATTGTTGGCAACGCAACAGGTGTCCTCATTGGAAAAATTCCCTTCTATTTTTTTCTGGTGACAACTCTAAATTTTGGATTTTGCCTTAACGTCATGGTTTTACTAGGAATATCTCCCCTTGCACATGATTGGAGGATTGAGATGAATAAAGCTTCACTGTATTCACAAAGATGAATAAACATTTACTTTGTAAAGTGAATAGTCTACTTTTTTTTTTTGCAACCCAACTCATATGGCTGTCTGAAGTTTTAGACAAAATGAGCCTCTAGGAATATGGCTACTATTACGCTGCCCACTTGGATATCCCATAGTGCAGGGAATCCTTTGTCATTTATTTGGTGTTTTGTAAAACAGATAATGTGTATAGCATATAGAGTATAAATAATATATAGCATGCATTTAAAAAAACTGCATATATATTTAAATTTGTGTGAAAAATCTAGTAAAAGTGATCAAAAACATTATAGATTCTATTTTTCAAATGGGAGCTAACCAATCAGAATTTGCATTGACAACACATACTGCATAATGCATAAGAAATTGGTTTGTGGTATGTTTTTATTGTAAGCATTTCCTGCAACAAAACAACCTATAAAATTCAAAGCTGGAGAAGATTATAGTAGTTTACAGTGATTGTGTCTGATCAACCTTAATGTCTGCTTTAAGCATTGGCTTCAAACATACTGATGGTTATAAATGCATTTATTCCTGCTGTCTTGGGATGCAAGTAACTGGTAATTTCCTTTACTTTATCCTCCTATATTAGATTTAGGAATGTGCACAGTGTACTTTCAGAAAAGCTGACCCTTGCTGGCTGGAGGTTATTTGTGTTTACAACATGTATGACTACGGAAGTGTTAAAATGAAAGGTTGGCAATCTGTACTGTCCTGTCTGGTAGTGTACTAGACAGGACACCTAGATATGTGTACACATCTGTAGATTTCATCACAAAATCCTTGAAGCTCCATTCATACCTGGGCATTTTGAATCGCTGGCAGAAATGCTGCAATTCTGTCAACGATTTCAAAACGCTCTGCTAAAATGACCAATCATACAATGCAAATTTCAGGTGCCATTAAATTTAATGGCACCTAAAAATGCATTAAAATGACATCTGAAATTCACACTGCGATTTGTCATTTTAGCAAAGTGTTTTGAAATCACGGGCAGAATCGCTGCGATTCTGCCCATGATTCAAAACGCCCATGTGTGAAAAGAGCCTGAGAGTCACAGAAACTTGGCACACAGTAAAAAAGTACCACTTGGAAGAGATGGTCAGGGGTGCTTGTCCTCTGCTCCAGTTTGCTTCAGCGCAAACCTTAGGCCTTGTACACATGATGAGAGTATCGGACAAATAATCCCAATTTGACTGCTGTGCATATGCATGGACTCGAACACAGACCGTGTGTGTTCAGGGTCGTACACCACACAGATGTCAGATTGGGAGCAGCTGCTTTGTCCATGCAGCTTCTGTGTCCCAGTGGGACTGCCTGCACAGGGATGCACAGAACACATGTGCATCTCAGTGTGGGTTAAACATGGCCCTCGCACAGGCGTATTCCGTAGTATGCCCCTCATGAACGACACCTAATTATGACCTCTCTTCTCCAACATAATGTTTCCCTCTTTATCTAGCAATGCAATGGAAGCTTGAGCTCAACCTTCTCAAGCCAATTCTAGATTTTCATAGAGAATCAGCCTGGTTTTGGGGAAGCTGGAACATTCAGGAATAAATATGTGCAGTTGAGTGTATGGCATGATTCTAATTCGTTTATATGCATTCCCCTTGAATTCAAAAACTGAGATAGAATATTTCCTACGTTTGTTAGTTTTTTTTTTTGTTTTTTTTTTAATCGGTATTCTTTTGGTATAACATACTTAGAGCTGCATGTCCACCTTTTGATGACAGATCTCTCTGTTGTGGATAGCCATTCTTCATTGAGTACAATGGTTTTTCTGCATCGTTGTGCTGAGAAAAACTGGCAGAGAACACTTCTGGACAGTATAAATCTGAAGTTATTTGGCAAGAACATTTTCAACTTTTTCCTTTGGCAAAAACATGTTGTAAAGTTTCATTTAGTTTACTAGTAATACATTAGCCACATTTATCAAGTTTCAGTTTACTCAATAATGTAGCTGAGATTTTCAGTTTTACCAGGGCGTTGTGTTGGTTTTTCATTTGCTGAACTATATCCTTTTACAAGGATGATGATTGTAAAATATGAACGTAGTTGCTCTAGTTAAGTTAAAGGAAGGGTATGATATTCTAGAATATTGAGTTTTCTCTTTTCTCTCTGTCTTTTTCTGTTCTCAGTGAAAAATGATGGCTCACCATGATACCGATACATACCATATATATTAGTGAATGCCAACTAGAATGTAATTCAATAAAAATGCTGGGTTTGATGTTCTCTTTGTATTAGCATGGGTAAAGTCAGCCATTGTAGAGACTGACTTTGTAATCCTTTTTTAATTTTACCATTTATTTGCCAGTGGGTGTCATAAGTATGGAGGAAGTAGTGCTTCATAAAGACCTGCATGGCCACCATCTGGGCTGCTCCAGTAAATGGTTGCCTACCTTTTCCTGCAAACATTTTTAGTTTTCCATGCCAAGAAAAGCTGCTGCCAGCCATAGCAGAGGCAATATTTCTGATCTTGTCACTGTTGCCAAGCAGCTTCATTCAAGTTCTGTGCTGCCGATTCCAAGTGTTTGCTTATTATTCTTGTGTTTATTTTATTTAGGGTCTTCAACTCCTGATATTTATTGTTTGTGTGTTTTTTACTAAAGTATGCATGCTTTTTTATTTTGCAGACTTGTTAGCTGTAAAGGAGCAAGATGGATGCCACTGTGATTTTACCAATACTAAAAAAGAAATTGGCTTTCCTTTCAGGTATGTTTCTCTTTGGCTGTGTTTCTGGCTTTGTTTGAAAGCAAGCAGAGTATGAGCTGCCAGTCAGTCTTTTTTGTGGGATTTTCAGAAGCACTTGGATTTGTTTAAACATTTCACTACATCTGTTAGTGGTTTTGGCAGAGTAATTTCTTGATAGACCCTTAAATTGATCATGCTGATCTTTCCAGAGCAGGTGTTAAAAATATATCAGAGCTTGATGTTTTCCTTACAGCTGAATCTTAGTGCTTGCTATGCATATATTTAATGCTGTGCTCTTCCATGCAAACCCGTGACAAAAAAGAATATATATTTTATTTTTGACTTTTGTATTAAAAGATAAGTTCACATTTGGGAACATGTTACATGTTCCACTCATTTTTAGGTTGGAGCATGTTCCCACCGCTGCCCGATTGGGCGTCACCCACACAGCTGCGTCCTTTGTTCACAGAGCTCTGTGAATGAATGAACTACAAGTCCCTACAGCCTTTGTGGCTGTCGGCTTGTAGTTCTCAATGAACTACCATGGCACTGTCGAGCATTGTGATAGTTCATTGAGTCTTCCTGACAGAATTTATATGCTTGCCCATATAGGATGTATAGGCACATAGATACACTAACAGTTTGCAGTAGTCTAGCATGGCACCAGCACTCTGCTGATCATTGGTGCAATGCTTTCTAGGCTCAAAAAAAAAAAGTATCTCTGACCATAGGGTTATAGTATCACCTTCAGGAGTGGGACACTAGGCACAAAACAAAAGCACAGCCTAGGAGTGGCCCTTGACAATGGCTAAACCCCCAACCTGCTAAATGCAGCTCAGATATTAGTGTCAATGAGTAAGGACCTAAGCTCCCTGCTGGTAATTTTTAGTTCTCTTTCCAGGGAATTTTTATTTTCATTTTTCCTTTGCTTTACAGGCTTGATTATTGGTGCCTGGGTAGAAGTGCTTCCAATGTTGTTAAAAGCTAGGAGTCTACTTTCTGTGGGATCTGCCATCACTTTGGACAACATACATCACCTGATGCGAGGAAATTACCATCTACGTCTGACAGTGCGTAATGGGACCTATCCTTTATGATCTCAAGTCTGGTTTAGCTTTTGTCCTTGAGTACCCTCGGGTAATTAATTTTAGGTGATGGCGATCTTATTCCTGAGCCTGATAGCCTACCCTTCCTTGCTTTCAGTCCTGTACCTTTTGTCACTTTTGCTGCTTTTCCCATATTATCTCCTATGCTTCAGTTAGTTTTGTGTTATATTCTGTCTGCACACCTCCGTGAGGCATGATCCCTTTCTGGTTCCACACAGGGATGCAATTGTATAGAGGTTCAGAGCCTCTTTCCTTGGTTTTGGTTTCTTCCTCAGTTAGGATGTCGTCCTATCTTTCTGTCCAGCACAGGTGCCTTATGTGGAAGGCATCATCTCTTCCTGTCTAGGTGTTTTGTTTGTTTTTTTTTTTTTTTGTGCTGTGAGGTTTATCTCCCAGCCATTGCTTCTGTTCAGATGTCTGACTTCCTTTATTCCCACCTTGGACCTTTTATCCTGTGGAACCTGGTTTTTATGCATTTCACCCTCAGTGGACCAATCAGGGGTTGTGCCTTCTCCAATTTCACAGCCTGTAGGTTTTTACTGGTGTTGTGTACTTTTCTTGCTTTGGGGGACTTTTTTTTTTTTTTTTTTTAGTTTTTCCCTCTTCTCTGTAGACACTGCTTTTGGAAGGTCCTAATGGTCAGAGATCAAGATCTCAGCTGTGTCCTTCAATGAAAGGGATTTTAGGATGAGAAAAAAACAAAACAAAAACTATTTTCTGGGTGTTAAAAGAAAATTCTACTTTTTACAGGGAAAAGCCAGAGGACACCAACTTGAATTGAAAGGGCTCCCCAAAGCCGATCTCCCCACCCCCTTCCCAGCAATAGAAACCTCCCAATCTCTCTAAGCAATTGTGCCTTCACTGTCTTTAACATAAGTACTTACCAATCCAATGCCCATGCAGGTTCTTTCATCCCCAGATTACACTTCCAGAAAACTCCCATGGTTAGTAGCTATTAATGGATTTTCACATGTAGGAAAACATTCCCAAATCAGCCGACTGACCAGTCTATTAGGCTTCTAAAGAGAAGCTGTCAACTCATTACATTACTAGCATTGTGATTTGTTTCGACTATGCTTTTCCACTCTGCATTGCATTTTTCAGGTTTCTAAAATATTAAATGTAACACAGACCTCTTCATGTGTCTGATTCTTTTACTCCTCTGTCCTCTCTGCCAAGAATAAACTTATAAATCTCTGTAATTCTCTATGTTCTCTAGACAGGTGACTGTGATCCCCTTGACAGTGTGATTTACCTGACGCTCTGCAAGCCTTAAATGGCAAAAAGAGACCATGCTTGTTACTTTTGGAAGTATCTACCATGGGTACATCAGACACAACTCTTCTGGTTAGCATAGAGAGACACCAGGATACTGCATAAAAGAAGAGCTTCATGTTTGCTATGCTTGCTCCTTCTCATAGACTGGAGTTGGGAAAATGGCAGCGAACCTACAGAGGCTATAATTCTGAAATGGCTCCATCAGCCTCCATATAGCACAAATGAGTAGCTCACAGGAGTGTACACATTACTGTACAAATCTTTTTACTAGATACAAAAGTTCATGTTCATTTAGCTGTTTTTTTGTAATTTACGTTCCATTTGTAAAACTGCCCAAACTGTTCCAGATTGAGTAGTAGGCCTTTACCTGTGATTTGAAGCATGAAAATATGATACAGGTACTTGTAGAATCACCTGCACTTTTTTTGACTCAGTCTCTTTATGGTTTCTACAGGACTGTGAACTACAAATTTACCTGCAGTGCTTGTACTGGTGTAAAGTGTTATTGCAGTTTGATGTAGTGGTGCACCGAAATGAAAATTCTGGTGCCGAAAACGAAAATTCAAAATGCACTTGGCCAAAAACCAAAACCGAAATGCGCAGTTTTTAAAAATGAATATATATTTTTTGGAAAAAAATACACTTTGATTAAAAAAAAAATATATATATATACCCCAATTGTTTTGTAAAATATGGATGTTAGGGCGAGTAAATAGATACTCAACGCGTCACGCTTTAAAATTGTGCACGCTCGTGGAATGGCATGAAACTGCGGTACTTACAAATCTCCATGGGTGATGCTTTAAAATTTTTTACAGGTTAGCAGTGTAAAGTTAGAGGAGGTCTAGTGTGAGAATTATTGCTCTTGCTCTGACGTTCGTGGCGATACCTCACATGTGTGGTTTGAACACCATTTACATATGTGGGCATGGCCTACCTATGCGTTCACCACTAAGTGTGAGCACGGGGGGACGGGGGCACTTTCAACCTTTTAAAAAAAATATATATTAAATGGTTTTTGGGTTTTTTGTACACTGTTCCTTTTAAACAAATTGTAATCACTTTTATTCTTATCACAAGAAATGCATGCATCCCTTGTGATAGAAATAATTAATGACAGGTCCTCTTTATGGAGAGATATGGGGTTAATAAGAACCCACATCTCTCCTCTGCAATGTAAAGCATTAGATCAAAAAAAAGCATTAATCTAGTGCTTAAAAAAAAAATGGCCACAACAGGAAGTGATATCGCTTTGGTCCTCCAAGGGCATAGAGATGTGTGGCGGCCGTCTTTCCTTCACTCATCTGTATGCCCAGCGCTGGGATCAATGGTTTCTCAGGTAAGACTGAACTACCGAGTGAGGGGTGGGGTTTTTCGGCACCCCAATTGGTGCATTTTTTTTTTCATTTCGGCCGACAGCTGAAAGGGGTGTTTTTGCCCGAAACGTTTCGGCCACCGGAATTTCGGTGCATCCTTAGTTTGATGTGTAGATGTAGTGGTCTCCTGTGGTTGCTCCTATAAATTATTATGGTTCTGCTGGTACTTATGAAGGGTGTGCAAGGTATTTCTACATCGAGGGCCTAAAGTAGGGGTCTATCAATATGTTGTACAGAAGACAGGGAAGAAAGGTATAGCCTTTGACAGGTAAGGGTTACTTTGTGATTGTAAGTACCACCCACTGTACCAATGAAGCCCTACCCACTTTTCTTGCTACACCCACCCCTTACTAACAAGTGCCCAAAACATATATTTCAATCTTTTTTTTTTTTTTTTTCTATATGCTGAAAAGGCTTACAGTTTCTTATATTTCTTCAGGACTGTGTTAGAAATCTGACAAGGCCATTATGAAGGTGTTCCACTTTCCATGTTGAATTTTTTAAATGATTTTAGATTATGGAGAATATAGCAGAGGTTAGTGGAAAATACACGGCTGGGCAGAAACACCCCAAACTCCTAGGTGGACAGAAACAGAGTCAAGAATATATACACCGATCAGCCATAACATTATGACTGTTGACAGGTAAAATGAATAATATTGATCATTTCATTACAATGGTATCTGAAATTGGTTGGTATATATTAGGCAGCAAGTGAACATGTTGTCCCAGAAGTTAATGTATTGAAAGCAGAAAAAATGGGCAAGCGTGAGGATTTGAGCATCTTTGAAAAGGGCAAAATTGTAAGGGCTAGACGGACAGGGTCAGAGCAGCTTCAAAACTGCAGCTCTTGTGGTGGGATGTTCCCGATCTGCAGCAGTCAGGACCTACCAAAAGTGGTCCAATGAAGGAAAATGGTGAACCAGGAGCAAAGGCTGGCTCATGTAGTCTGATCCAATAGAAGAGCTGCTGTAGCTTAAATTGATGAAAAATGTAATGCTGGTTCTAATAGATATGCAAAACTTACTTTAATTCAAATATGTTATGTAAAAAAAAAAAGGAATGCAGCTGTAAGTGCTTAAAATCTATCTTTTATATTGGAGTCCAATAATCTCCCACATGCCAGTTGTAACACTGAGGTAAGGAGGGTTAGCCAATCAGTGAAGTCTGTCATACTCTGGAAGCTTTCCCATAGCAGAGGAGAACGCACTGATGACCTAATTTACGTTCTGCTGATCCCTTACTATTTAGTCAACAAGCA